CTCCCTTCCCAGTTACCTGCCGTCATTATCTGGTCCTGTTTGACCCAGATAAGAACCTTACAAACACCCACCTAGCTTCACCCAAGTTGAGCATTTAACTCTATCCAGGACACCAGCAGACTGCCCTGTGTCCATTTTCCTTGACACACCCTCATTTTGTTATTTCCTCCCAAGTCTGATTGCTTCATTTTCTCTCTATCTGTTGCTATCCAATGATGCTCCACCTGCCAACCTTGCCTGTTCTTTTCTTAGAAGCCTGATGACCCTGTGGTCTAAAACCCAGTCCCATAAAGAGGTAGAGAGTAGAAAGCAGAAGAGTAGACATACTGGTATGTCAGGGTAAAGAAGAAATTGCCCTGCAGGAAAGAATATCTTGGGGCTCCCTCAAAGAAACTTTCCTTGGGGTTTTATAGCTGAAGTTGAGGAGAGTCTGTACCAGGCCTAGTTCAAAGTCAAAGGTGAAAAATTTAGTGACAGGCAGAATACATGGGCCCACTACCTAACAATATAGCTATTCCAGTTTTAGACAGCTCTGGGAAGTGGTAGAAAAGGTGTAGCGTTTGGAGTAAAAGAACTCGAGTTTGAAACCTGCCTCTGATATCAATTATATGTTCTTAGACTACCCACTTTACCTTTGAAGGTCTCAGTTTCCTCCTTTAGCAAATGAAGGAATTAGACTAAATTGCCTCCAAGATCCTTTCTTAATCAGCTCTGATTCTTTCGTATGAGGCTCTTGTTAGCCTGAGCTGCTCAATAGACAATCTCGACCATTAATGCTTAAGGTTATCCATGCACCCGTAGATTGATTAAAAACCAAGAGTCCTTAACATTTTTTGTTTCATAGATTCCTTTGGTAATCTGGTAAAGCCTATGGATTCTTCTCAAAATTATGTTTTTAAATACATAAAATATATCTATCAAGGAAACCAATTACAATGAAATAGTGCTATTAATTTTCTTTAAGTTCATGAATCCAAGATTAAGAACTTCTTTAAATTCATGATTTATGGAGACTTAATTTAGTCATAGAACCTTAGATTTGGAAGTATCTTAGAGGTCAGCAGGTCCAATCTCTGAATCAATTCGGAAATTATTTCTATAGTACTCCTCACTCACAGGCATTCAGCATCTGCTTGAATACTTCTCATAACATCAAGCTCCTTACTTAATAAAAAGCCCATTCCAGTTTTCAACAACTCTGATTTTTCAATAATTCTTCTCTGGAGCCAATTAGGCCTTCCTGTACCTTCTCTTGGTTAGCCCTAGTTTTGTCTTTCAGAGTTATACAATGTAACTCCAATCCCACTTCTGGGCTGACAGCATAGCATTTCATATTGACTGGTTCAGAATAAATATAAATAGCAATTGTTTCTGTTTTGGCCAGAAATCCCAAGGATCTTCCCCTGTCAGATCGACTTAAAAAAATTTTTTTTTAAATTTTTGACTAGGTAAAGAGGCCATTCATTCTCTGCCTCAATTTTTATTAAGCCTTAATCACTGAATGGGTGTTGCCTCAGTCAAACTGAGACCTGTTAAAGACCTTAACTTGAAAAGACCAAGGTCCCCCACTGCATCATCCTGATCTATATCTGGCCACTGGACCCAGATAGCTCCAGAGGAGAAAGTGAGGCTGGTGACTTTGCACAGTCCTCCCTCACTTAAATCCAATTCACTTGCATTTCATTGCATCACCTCCTGATGTCATAGTCCTTTACCAGAAAGAAGAATAAACAACAAATAACAATAGCATTTCATATCATGGAACACAGCTATCATATTCCCTCTAAATCCTGCAACTGTTCTTCATAGAATCTGGTTTCTGAACCCTTAACCATACTACCCCCCTCCTTCCACATACTCTAGTCTATCAATATCTCTCTGGTACCAAGATGGAACTATAATATTCCAGATGTAATCTGACCAGTATAGGGACTTTCCAGGCTGGAAGATTAACGTGTGTGCCTAGAGCAGCTATTTCTCCAAAAGTCTATTCCTAAAGTTCTTCTAACTTTATGACTGCAAGGCAGGTGGCATTAGTGGTACCTTTTTTGATTCCTTGTTCTCTCTACTCCCTCTGACCTACCCTGAACAGTCCAGCCCTTGGCCTTCAAAGTTATAGTGACTGTAAGACATTGGTCCATCAAGTTTACTATCATATTTCCTAGTTATACTCAGAGTATAGTGCCAATTTTTCATGCTGCTTCACAGCTGCAGAGGCCTTGTATGCATGCACATATGGGCATGTCTACACATATACACAGACACAAAATCAGGTTGGATCTAAGGAGAAGATATCTTACCAAGGAACATGATAACTGTCTTCCCATATATAAAGAGTTGTTGTGCATAAGGGGATCATTATGATCAATGGGGAAAGTTACACAGAGGTAGAGTTGATTCAAAGAAGATCTTTTTAACAATTAGTTATCCGAAACTAGAATGGGACCTGTTATGAGGTAGCAAACTCGCTGTCACTATACATATCCAACTCTGACATTTATTATCTGTACCATTCTAAGCAAATCACTTTAACCTCTATGTGCCTTAAGCAATTCCCTAGGATTTAAAAGAGATGCCATGGTCAACATGGTATGATGAAGTGCTAGATTTGGAGTCAGAGAATCTAGGTTCAAAGGCTGCATCTATTAATTTACTACCTGCATGTCCTTGGCTAACACAGTTAACCTTTCTGGGCCTCAGTTTCTTCATCTGTAAAATGAGGGGGCCAGATTTAATGGTCTCTAAGGTCTCTTTCAATATAACATCTATGACCCTGTGATCAAAGGAGGAAGCATGGTAGTGGATAGAAAGTTACCCTGGGAGTCAGGAAGGTCAGGATTCAAGCCCCACTACTGATACATACTGGTTGTGTCACCCTGGGTAAGTCATAACCTCTACAGGCCTCTACCCAAATAGACTGGTTGAGATAGAAAGCCTCACTAAGAGCTCCCTAAGCAGATAAAATCTCAGATCTGGTTTAAAAAATTATCTGCCAAGTCATAGACAGTTTGTGATCTGTGTCAGTACAGTGAGGTTCTAAACTGAGTTTCTTAACCATTGAGGAAATCACAGATCTAATCTAATTACTAATCTAATTCCTGAAGGCAAGGTTTCACCATACTTCCCTTTTGCATTGTGTATCACTATCCACCAAAGTCTTCAAGCCAGGACTGTGGAACACGTGCATGAAATAAGCACCTGAATTACATGAAGAATCAGATTTTCTGCAATTAAAAATAGGAACATTTAGAAACAAATTTTAAAGTGCTCTTCATTGTACCAGTGGACACATGGCAATCTAAGGACAAAAGGCTCTGCCTACATTGCCCACTTGTTATACGGAGGAGAGCACTGGGTAATCAGACTGGAACCAAAAATCAAATGTTAAAAGAGAAATGAAAAAGGTTCTGATGAAAGCATCACAAGCATGACTTTGCAATTTTCTGACTCTGTTTCAAATAAAATAACTAGACCAGAACTTTCTAAGTGTCATCAAAACCCCATTTTGATTCTTAAACAAATACAACTTAATACAAATGACCAGAGAACACACCTTCTGATCAAGAATTGGATTGATTCTACATTCCTAAGGAAACCTTTTGCTGGCAGTCATTAATAAGATGACAGCCCTCCCCCACATCCCAAGCATGAAAAAACTGTCTCAGAGCTAAGAATCTGAAGAGGGGATGGGTGTGTCTAAATGGCCGATTTGAAAATTCATTCATAATGTGCATTCTTCTACAGGAAGTGTGTCCCTGGCTGATCTGAGACTTTCTACCCGATTGCAGCAGCTTTCCTTTCAAAGTTTTTTTTATTTCTCACTAAGATTAGGGACAGCCCATCTGAATCCAGAGGATGTGTGGGCTGTGATCCACCAGGAGGCAGCAGTAAAAAGAAAGGAGAAAGCCAGCGAAGAAAAGTAGTTTGAGATTAAGAATAATTATCACATTACAAATCTGTAAAAAGTGGGATTTTTTTCCCCATTTACCCATAAAAATGTTTTGAAAATGACCCACTTTAGATTAGGGTCCTAAATACATAGGACCTTCTCCTTGGAGCAGGGAGGATACCAATGACAATTTCTCTGCCTCGTGATTACTGAATGTCCTAAACCAGTTGGCCCCAGGTTATAATTTAGACAACGTTTCCTGATACTGGTAGTCAGTCCTCATAGGTAACGTGGAGGGAATGATCTTATACTGCATTCCCCTCCATGCCAGATCTTCCACAACATTTCAAATGTCTGAATCACTCTTCCCTCCCCCCACCCGCCCGCCCCAGACTGCCTCGGGTTCTTTGGGTGGGGGAGGGGGTGTTTGTGGTATAAATAGGAAAGAAGGGGAGGTAGTTGGGGGGAGGGGCAGAGCAATTTTTATCAGACTTCCCAGGTGGGAAAGGAAAGGAAGAGCCAACTATATTCGACATCATCAGGTAATAAGCAGGATAGATGCTGCCCCTTCCCCTACCCCTTCTTGTGGGGGAAGGGATAAGTCCAGGCTTACAGTTGCCCAGGGTTAGCGATTGACTCACCTAGTCCCGTGTACGTGTACATTATTCAGAGAAACTCGACAAAAAGGAAAGTGAGGCAGCCTACCTTTAACCACCCTACCAACTCTCACTTACGCAGCCAGGCAGCCGACAAGCAGAAGTTGTAACTTCTCCCAATAACCCAGCTCTTTCTCACCATGCAGCTGCCCACTCAGTTTTAGCCCCACTTCTAAGCTCTATGGAAGCCCTTAGATCCCCACTGAGTCCAGTGAGGGGGAACACGCCTGCTCCAGGAGGAGCCCAGTCTTTTCCCACCCACGGACCTCAAATGCCCCCTCCCCCACCATCATATTAGGGGAAGGAGGTGGTGAGCAGGCAATGATTTGGGGTCAAAGGCGGGAGGAGAAAAAGAGAACTATGACAGATAGTGTACTGGAGGAAAGTTGAAATTGAGGGGAGGATAGAGGAGAGGCTGCTCCAAACCTAGCTGGAGCGCAGTCGTCCCAGCTTACCTCTGCAGGGGAGGCTCTGGGTGGGCTCTGGGAGGCTGGCTGGGTGATGTACCTCTCACCCGGGGCGAGAGCTGATTCGACACATCCTTCCATTTCTGCCCACCCTGGCCACCCCGAGGGGCCTGCTGCTCCTGGGCGCCCCCATCCCTCTGGGCTGGGTCCTGTTCCCCCATTCCCTCCTCCTTACAGCTGCTGGTGACTCCTTCCTCCAGGCGAGCGCAGCCACCCGGCTATTTGTAACGGGCGCCAGAGGAGACGTCAGAAGAGAAACTCCCCACTTGTGTGCCGCGGTTATTGGTGCCCGCGCTCGCTACTGGTTTGTTTCAAATTTGGGCGAAATCTCGAAAAGGAAACCGGAAGCCTTTCTTTTTCTTCTCTCCGGCTTCTTCATTCTTCCTCTGTGCCTCATTGTGTTTCCCCAGCCCCCAACTCCAGATTCTCCTGGCCTGTGGCCACCGCTCCCCTGTTTCACTGGCCCAGATCACGGGTGGGGTCGCCTTCCTCCCACTTGGAGCAGCTTCCTACACCCGGCAAAGATGGTCAGCTCAGAAGAGATGGGAGCAGCACTGGCACTGGCCAGACCCAGAGGATAAGGGGATGTGAAGCTTGCTCCCCCACTCCACCTCCACTCCATCTTTTCTTTCTAGAGTATCAAAAAAAACTAAGACAGGGATGTCCCCACTGTATCTCCTGTTAGTCCCTTTGTTAGGTCGAAAAGCCCTCCTCCTTCCAGCCACGTGTACAAATGTGTTTAAAAGATATCCAGCCCACCCCTATGAACCAGGGACTCCCAACAGCCCTCTGCACCTGCGTGCACTTCAGTGGGGTGGATCACTGCCGAGACAGATAATGCCAGGAAAAGTGGGGTAAATGCTAATTTCTTCCCCGATAAGAGGGAGAAAATCATAAGACTTCTCAGAAATACATTGAAAGTGTCCTTGGTGGACTTTAAGACGAGTGACCAAGTTTGGTCAACCTGGACATCCAGGACACAGGCTGCAGGTGTGGAGGCAAACATACCTGTTCTCTAAGCAGAGCAGCTGGCTCTGGTCCTGGCTCGTGGCCCACACAGCTGATTCCTCTTCTAGGTTTTAAGACAGAAGTGGGAGAGGGCGGGGGATGGGCAAAGGGACTGCTTCCCCTATTAGGATAGACTCCGAACGAGGACATTACTTCACGGCATAGAGAAGGGCTCTTAGAGAATATGGAAAAGTATTAGACCCAGTCCCCTGACAAATAGGCACTTGTCGAATAGGGAAGTCTCATATATCCAGGAAATACCTCAGGGTAAAAAGGTGGATCTGACTACTGATCTATGGTGACATATACCTACAGAACTGAGAAGACAGCATAGGCGCAAAACTGAAAGGGGATGTAGTCCTTCAGAAGAGGAAGACGGAAAAGACTCATTAGATCTTAGAGAGGTACTTGAGGGGAAGATCCACAGAGGGAAGATTCATAGATGGAGGACAATAACTGAAGCATCCATCTCTTTGAGACTCAGTTTCTTAATTGATCAAATAAGGGGGTTGGACCAAATGACCTCTAAGATCCTCTATAGTTCCCAAGTATTACAGTATTAGTGTATTCAGCCTGAAGACCTAGGAGTTCAAGCAAGGTTATTGTTTAAAATTTTTTTTTTTATTCCACATCTCCAATTACACTGACAGGGAAATAGCCTCACTACATAGGAATTAGTGAAAAGGAAATTTGGCACACCAAAAATAATACCACAGGCAAGGGTAGTTTTTTTGGAGCCTGGGTTTTGTTTTTGTTTTTTTGGTTTCTTTTTCTTTCTTTCTGTCTTTTTTTTTTTTGAGAGGTTTTTGTTTTGTTTGGGTTTTTATGGATTAAGCTGGTTGGGCTGGTTTTTTGGAGGGTGTTGGGGAGGGGTGAATGTTAGTAGTAATATCTACAGATTTCACTGATTTAGGGGATAGGAAACTTCTCTTGTAACAAAATAGGCTATAACACTTAGAGTGTCAAACAAAGTGCTCTTTTGCTGTGCTCTGATATTAGACAAATAATTAGGAGCAAGAAAAGTTAATTAAAGAACAATGAAAACCTCCTCACCCTGGCTTATGAGAAAGACCAGAGAGAGCCAGAGATGGAAAGTCCCAATAAAAAGCAGAAATCTTTTCAGTAAGTCCCCAGAATCTTTGGATATGGTGTCTGGTTATCAGTGTTGAAGATAACAAGTCATTCAGTTGTCTCTGGTGGCCAAAGGTATTACCTTTGGGGGTTCATGAGATGCAAGATATATTGAGATCCTATAATGTCAAGGACAATCTTTCCCCCCTTTCCTCAACTCCTTCTCCCTCAAAAAAAAAAAAAGAACAGAAAAAAGTCTGGTGTTGTGGCATGAGAGAGATGAGAGAAGTAGACCTTTAATTTTACTGCTAGAGGGAAGTAACTCTCAGATGAGAACTTCCTCTATCAATGCAGGTTTGAAACAGAATGGTCTAGAATATTGAGAGGTTAACTGATTTCTCCAGGCTGACACAGTGCACATGCGTCAGGGACAAGGTTGGAAGCCCTACCTCTTGGAAGCATCGAGTATGTGAAAGGAAATAGTAGGAGATAAGCCTAGAAAGGCAAGGGGGTGCCAGATTGTGAACATCTTTGAGAATGTACAAGGGTGCACTTGACTTGGTAAATGTTGTCTTAATCCAAATGATTAGGTTCTGAGGAAACCTGAGGTTTGGCAAATGAAGTATGTTAAGGGTCACTTTGCTTACCTAGGGTTAGGCAGACACAGAAGTCAGCAGTCCCACATAGCACCCCAGCCCTGGTGAAGAAATAGCTGGTACCAAGAATCTGATCCACACAGGACTTGGAACTCCCATAAAGTTGAGGAACCCAAATCCTTAAGGAAGTAACTAGGTGAAGGAGTTATAGTTTCAATTGATACTCTAGATTAGGGGTGGTGAACCTTCTACCTCAAGGCCACATGTGGCCTTCTAGGTCCTCAAGCCCTTTCACTGAATCCAGTGAATTTGTTCCACAGAACAAATCCTCTTAATAAAAAGATTTGTTCTGCAAAACTTGGACTCAGTCAAAAGGTCGTGTCCACTAATCAATTGGCTGACTGACTGACTTGTAATGCTCACCCCAGGTGTGGCAGCTTGAGGTGCTAAGTGTGAGTGTGAGTAACACTAATGTTTTCAACCTTGGGCACTAGATAAATGGTAATACCACCAGCAGATTATAATATAGTCAGAGAATCGGGTTTAGTGGAAAGGATACAGAAATAAGATCGCTTTTAAATATGCTGAGCTTGAGGTGGAACATTCAGCTAAAGGTGTTATGTAGACATTTGGAGATTTTGGTCCAGAGCTCAGAAGAGAGGTCAGAATTTTAAATATACATTTGGGAATCATCTTCATGAAAGTGACCACTGAAGTCATGAGAATGAACCAAGTTGCTAAAGGGCAAAGAGGAACAGGGGCCAAGGACAGAACCTCCTTGAGGAACACCTGCCCTTAGGGGTTAGGAATAGGACAGCAAAGAAATGTTGGTCCTCTCTTCTCAACTAGATTATGACTTCCTTGAGGGTGAGGACCATGTCTTAAACTCTTTCTGTACCTTTTAGAGCCTGGCACAGCGCTGATCACATTGTATGAAGGAACCACCCAACCTCAGAGTCAGAAAAGCTTTCAGAGGTCATCTAGTCCAACATGCACCGATAAGAATCCTTCTTATAATATCCCTGATAAGTGGTTATCTAGCCATTGTTTAAAGACCTATAATGCAGTCAAGGGGAGGGAGGGACTCATTACCTCCTAAGACATGACATTCAACTTTTGGGATAGTTCTAATTGTTAGGAATTCCTGAGTCTCCTAGTCAAAAGTGACTGGTCACAAGAGGAATTTCCTGCAACTATGTTCTTTTTAGAGAAAATGACCACCAATAGGTGGATGAGTCCAAGCCATGTCCTAGCTTATCAGAAGACATGTACTGGAAAGAGTTCTTAAGACAGTGTAGAGCTGAAGTGAAGGTGAAATGGGAGTTGTAATGGTCTCATTATTTAAGTCTTTGTCAATGTGCACTTCTGAATCTTTTGCAATATAAACATTTCTCATTGTTCAGGAAATAAATAGCTATCCTATACGTGTTCTACATTGTATATTAAGTACCTTTCTAATCCCTTTAGGAGAGACTCTATGAGCAAAGCAAACTTGTGGTAGCTCAAAAGAAATATGAGATGTGCAAATTTAGAAACATCTCCCTCCCAAATGATCATATGGACTCTTTGGGCCTGCTCTGTGGTATCGAGATGCTTGGCCACAACAGGACACACTGTACATTGATCTCTATATCAAGAAGTCATTTTGGTCCTCTTCGAGCACAAAGGATAAAACAACAGGGGAGACCTTAGAAGTGAGTCAAACCTAAACTTTAGATGATATTGTCTGGGGTTGAGGCATAAAGAGCCAGGGATGATGACAAGAACCTGATCCTTCTCTTTAGAGGCCAAGCTCTCACAGGACTGAATATGGTCCACATGAGCCTAGAGCTGGACCTCTTAATGAAATAGGACATGCCCAGCCTGCCTTGGACAATGGTACTTTGTAATCACATCTACATTAATATTAAAATTTCAACTTGTGGTGGCAGAGAGAGAGAAGGTAGCCCTATATTTTTCTTTTACTAAAATGAATCACCCTATTTTGGAAATCTCTTTTTCATTGTCGATGGGAAGTCAAAACTAACCCCATGTTTCGCCTTCCTTTACTCTATGTGTCTAATAAGATCAACAAAAAACTAGAGAACACCCTCTCTTGGACCATTAAGACCAATAAGAGAGTAGCCATTTAAAGAGTCCCTGTCCCCTCCCTTGAAATGCAACAAACTGCCCTCCAAGGCCAGTAAGCTTACCATAACTATGCTTTATCTGTACACTATAAGTACCTATGGGATATAGCTCATATCCAGGGGTCCATTTGCCTCATAAAGACACCTTTCTCTATATGCCAATTGATGCAGTTTCCTGCTGAGGCTTATCATCAGTGGCTAAAAGAAATCCTCTCATTGACTTGTATCAGAAGTTGTCAGCAGTAGGTTTTCTTTCCATGACTTATCTACTCCTTCTATTTCTTCGCCCCGAGGTCAAGCAAAACAAGTCTAACACCTTTCACGTGACAGCCCTTCAAATACAAGA